TCACTCTAGCCTAGGCAAGAAAACGAGACTCTGTCTCAAAAAAAAACAAAAACAAAAAAAACAAAATAATCTTTCACATTTCTAAGAGTTATTTTCCTAAAATATTAAAAACCATCTATAAAAGTTAAAGGGAAGAAATATAATTTATGATTAACAAGTGTTAAAAAATGAAATTTAAACTATTTAAGACCGGGCATGGTGGCTCACACCTATAATCCTAGCACTCTGGGAGGCCAAGGCAGGTGGATCATTCGAGCTCAGGAGTTCAAGACTAGCCTGAGCAAGAGTGAGATCCTGTCTCTACTGAAAAAATAGAAAGAAATGAGCTGGACAACTAAATTTAGCTAGGCGTGGTGGCATATGCCTATAGTCCCAGCTACCCCGAAGGCCGAGGCAAGAGGATTGCTTGAGCCCAGGAGTTGGAGGTTGCTGTGAGCTGGGCTGATGCCACAGCACTCTAGCCCAGGCAACAGGGTGAGACTCTGTCTTAAAAATAAATAAATAAATAAATAAATAAATAAACAAATAAACAAACAAACTATTTAAATAGAGTTGAAAATTTTGACTTTTTGAAAATGTAATGAAATCTTATTAAATATTTTTATTAAAAAGCTATTCATGATTCCAGTGTTCAATGTTTTAGAATCAGTGTCATGCTTCATATATGTTTGGCCTAGGCCTACATAAATACACATGTTTCAGAGTAAAATGAATTGTTTAATATTACATAATGTCCCTAATCCTGTATGTGAACTATTGCAAATACTGTACAAATTTTTGAGCACCTTTGGAATCTGAAATTAGAGCATGAGAAACAAGAAAACAGACGGCAGGCATTACTGGGAAATGGAATATTGCTATGCAAGAATCTACTGCATTCAAGGTATCTGAAAGGGGGGATTTGACAAGTTGACTTGTCTTCTCTTTTACCTAAGCACTTGCGTGCTTGTACCCGAGTGGCACTCTGAAGCAGTGTCTGTCTGCACTGTTAGTGACACAACCCTCAACTTCTGAGCACCAGGATGTAGTTGCCTTTTGTTTCAAGGACCTAGGACAAGAGTTGTGAAGAAGCATTTCCCCGGGACCTGTTACTCATGACGGCCAGGTTTCAGGTATGGGGCGCACTGTCCCAGTGCTGAGTGTGAGATCCCAAGTCACAGAGGTGCCCAGGCGTTTTAATACATTTGTGGCCGGGCGCGGTGGCTCACGCCTGTAATCCTAGCACTCTGGGAGGCCGAGGCGGGCGGATTGCTCAAGGTCAGGAGCTCGAAACCAGCCTGAGCAAGAGCGAGACCCCGTCTCTACTATAAATAGAAAGAAATTAATTGGCCAACTAATATATATGTATATAAAAAAAAATTAGCCGGGCATGGTGGCACATGCCTGTAGTCCCAGCTACTCGGGAGGCTGAGGCAGAAGGATTATTTGAGCCCAGGAGTTTGAGGTTGCTGTGAGCTAGGCTGACGCCACAGCACTCACTATAGCCTGGGCAACAAGTGAGACTCTGTCTCAAAAAAAAAAAAAAAAAAAGTATGTATATAGAAAGCTAGGCATGGTGGCACGTGCCTGTAGTCCCAGCTACTCGGGAGGCTGAGGCAGGAGGATCTCTTGAGTCCAGGAGTTTGAGGTTGCTGTGAGCTAGGCTGACACCATGGCACTCTAGCCACGACAACGGAGTGAGACTCTGTCTCAAAAAAAAAAAAAATTCATTTGTGTGTGTGTTTGTGATTTGCAGGCTCTCCCAAAGCACGAAGAGGCCCCTCCTGCCCTGTTTTAAAGGCAATGATACTCTTAGGCCATGGGGTGAGATTATAAATATGGCCTTTCTAATCCAACTCTCATTTACCATGAGGAAGATGGAGTTGGAAGGTGGACCAATTTTCTTATTTTGCTGACAAAAATAAGCTTTACCTGCTGACTTGTATGCCATTGTCATTTTAAGTATTGTCCTATCTGCAGTCTGGCTATTATAATTCACACAACTGCAAAAGACACAAAATTTCTCACTCATTCATTCGCTCACTCAATATGTATTTACCAAGCACCTTGTTTTCTAGGTGCTTTTTGGGGAGTAAAGAAATGAATGACAAGATCTCATACTCTAGAGGAGGAGACAGAATTGAACTGTGAGTAATGATAATATTGAGGCGAGTACTTACAGGTGTGTTTAAAGTGATAAAGGAACATAGACGAAAGAGCAACTGCCCATGTCACTGTGGCCTGGCCTAGGGAAGGCTTCAGACATGGCAGAATAGTAGTACTTTCCATTAAATGCTAACAGAAGGCCTGCTATGTTATAGGCTCTCTTCGAATACTGTCACATTTACTTCCCACAGTAACTTTCAGAAGTAGTCATTTTTTTTTTTTGAGACAGAGTCTCAGTTTGTTGCCCAGGCTAGAGTGAGTGCTGTGACATCAGCCTAGCTCACAGCAACCTCAAACTCCTGGGCTCAAGAGATCCCTCTGCCTCAGCCTCCGAAGTAGCTGGGACTACAGGCATGTGCCACCATGCCTGGCTAATTTTTTCTCTATATATATTAGTTGGCCAATTAATTTCTTTCTATTTACAGTAGAGATGGGGTCTCGCTCTTGCTCAGGCTGGTTTCAAACTCCTGACCTTGAGCGAACCGCCGCCTCAGCCTCCCAGTGTGCTAGGATTACAGGCGTCAGCCACCTTGCCCGGCCAGAAGTAGTCATTTAGGCCCATTTTACAGGTGTGAAAATGGAGGGCCGGGAAGGTTAAGGAACTTGCTCAATGCCACACAGCTAGAGTTGCAACTTTCAGGTCTTCCTAACTCTGTAGTGGATAGACTTTGTACTATGTCCCGATACTGGATAAGTCTTGAAATATGTGTAGGAGCTTACCTGAGTGGAACACGCAGGGTAAGGAGCATTCAGGCAAAAGCAGCACCATGTTATTCAAGGTGTGAGGTGTAAATTGAAATTATAAAGCAAAGCACGTGAGTGTATCCATAAAGATGAGATCACATCCAGGGTCAGATTACAACCATATGACTTACTTGAATAGGGTTCTGTGCAAATCCCATTGCCCAGTTGATTAATAATTTCTTTCTTTCTCTCTCTTTTTCGTCTTTCTTTCTCTCTCTCTCTCTTTCTTTTCTTGATTCTTTGTCTTATTCTTTTCTTGTCTTCTTCCTTTCTTTTTTCTCTTCTTTCTTTCTTCTTTCTTTCTTTCCTTTTATCTTTCTTCTCTTGATTCTTATCTTTCTTATAATACTTTGACCTTTTTTTCTCTTGTTCTTTTCTTTTCTTTCTTTGTCCCTCCCCTCTTTTTTATCGTCTCTCCGTCGTCCCCTTCCGTCTCTCTCTCCTCTCCCGTCCCTCCCTCCCTATCCCTTCTTCCTTCCTTTCCTTTTTCCTTTCTATTTCTTTCTTTCTTTGAGACAGAGTCTCACTTTGTTGCCAGGCTAGAGTGAGTGCCATGGCGTCAGCCCAGCTCACAGCAACCTCAAAATTCCTGGGCTCAAAGCAATCCTCCCTGCCTCAGCGTCCCAATAGCTGGGACTACAGGCATGTGCCACCATGCTGGCTTAATTTTTATATATATATATATATTTCAGTTGGCCAATTAATTTGTTTCTATTTATAGTAGAGACGGTCCCTGCTCTTGCTCAGGTTGGTTTCGAACTCCTGACTTCAAGCGATCCACCCGCCTGGGCCTCCCAGAGTGCTAGGATTACAGCGCGTGAGCACACACACCCAGCGATTTAATGATTTCCAACAGGCCCAACTTCAAGGTAACATTTAAGTTCTCTCCAGACAGACACAGCATTACTACTTTTCACAAGTGTTCATGTGTGTATGTGTGTGTTGGGGGAGATACTGTAATTGATGTTTTTAGTGGGTGCTCTTGATAACTTCTCTGTGAACTTATTTTTCTGAGCCATTTTCATTTTTAAGTAGGTTTTCCAGACATTCCCCAGCAAGTGGTTTGCAATGTGAATCCATGTCCTGTGTTTGGCCTTGTCTTCGGGATTACACGGATTCTCCAACACGGAATCTTTAGTGCTGGAGTCTGGTTTGAGGTCAATAAAACAAACCATTCAAAAAACACAAAACAGGCCCAGGCAAGGTACCACCTCATGCTTGTAATCCTAGCACGTTGAGGCAGGAGATTCTTTGAGGTCAGGAGTTGTAGGACAGCCTGAGCAAGAATGAGACTCTGTCTCTAAAAAAAAAAAAAAAAAAAAAAAAAAAAAAGGAAAGAAAGGAAAGGAAGGAAGGAAGGAAAGGGAAAGAAAAGGAAGGAAAGAGGAAGAAACGGAAGAGAAGAGAAAAGGAAGAAGAACGGAAGGAAGAAGCGAAGAAGACAAGGAAACAAAGGAAAAGAAAGGAAAGAAAGACAAAGAAGCAATTAGCCGGCAATGCGCGGGCTGCACACCTTGTAAGTCCCAGCTACTTGGAGGGCGAGGGCAGGAAGATACCGCTGAGCCAGGAGCCTTTGAGTGGCAGTGGCCCTATGTTGATGGCCATGGCACTCTAGCCCCAGGACGAGAATAAACGCATGGCTCTCAAAAAAAAAAAAAAAAAAACCAAACCAAACAAAGAACGACAACCCTCTTATTCCTTGCCCATCCCCCTCCGATTGATGCATTTCCAGTTTTGTTGGTTTTTTTCTAACACGTCCACAAAACTTTTTCACAAAATGTTGTTACCAGGACTGTTTATCCAGGTTGGCATGTGGATTAAAATAAAAAAAAAAAAAAATCTTCAACAGCGTTAAGCGCAATCACAGCGTGCATTCACCCCGGCCCACGTTCGCGTGGGCTCCAGGCTTCGCCGTCTTTGTCTCTCCAGCTCCTCGCGCGACACGGGCGCTCGGCGTCGGTGGACCGACCCGGCGAGGCGGGGCGCGCGGGTCCGGGTCGGGACGCGCGCGGCTGCCCCGCCCCCGGCCAAGGGGCGACCGGGCCCGGGCGGGGCGCGGGGCCTGCAGGGCGCCGCCCAGGTGGGCAGGTACCTGGGCGGGGCGCGCCGGGGTGGCCGGGCCGTGGCCGCGGGGGCGAGCACCCGGAAGCGCCGTGCCCTCAGCCAGCGCGACAGGCGGCCCGGTGGGGAGCAGGCCCGCGATGGACAAGCTGAAGAAGGTGCTGAGCGGGCAGGACACCGAGGACCGCGGCGGGCTGTCCGAGGTGAGTGCCCGCCCGCCGCCCGACCCCCGCCGGCCGGCCTGGCGCGGCGTCCCGCGGTGGCGGCTCAGAGCGTGCGGCGGGACCTCCAGGACTTCTTGGAAAGCGCCTCTGCCTCTGCGCCGGCCTCCCCTGCCCGGCGTCGCGGGGACCCCCGCGCAGGGCCCGGGCGCTTTGCACGGGCCGCCGGCGTCTGCGCCCTCCCGCCCTGCGCCCTGCGCCGGTCCCCACCGAGAGAGGGCGGCGCCGGCGCGTCTGCGAGCCCGAGGCCCGGCCTCCAGGCGCTCGGCCCATTCCTGCAGACCCGGGAAAGCACTTCAGCGCCGCGCCAGGCGGCAGCCCCGCCGGGGAGGGCGCGTGCAGGCCGGGGTGGCGCTCCCGCAGCCTTCCCGGCTCGCGCGGGGCCTGTGGCCGAGCCCCGCGCTCCCCCGCGCCGAGCGCGCGCCCGGCTTGGCCGCAGAGTGTGACACTCCCACCTGGCCGAGCACGCCGCCTTGGCTTGTGAAGCTGGCTCCGCCACAGGGGAGCAGGGCCGCGTCTCGTTTCCCTGCGTGTGTGTCCGCACGGAGACTCTGCGCCAGCGCCTCGGGAGACCGCCTGCTGCGCGTTTGTGCTAGTACAAGGGTCTCACCAAGAGCCGAAGCCTGGCCACCCGTGCCCTGTTCTAGAACCACCTGTGTATGCCTGCTTGCGGTGCTTTCAGCGCTTGTTTTCGTTTTCCTTTCTGGTCGACAGAACAACTTTTCTCTTGTTGTTGTTTTCTTTAGCCTGTTTCCCCGCTTGTAAAATGGGGGTGTCCAACAAGATGGTAGGGCCTCTTTCAACTGGAAACCTGAGTTTTCCTTCTCACTTTATTTAGTGTTTCTTGTTTTCTCAGCAAGCTGCTTTCACCCACTTTTGTGGTTGCTGATTTTGTAGTTGCTGTTGTTGGTTTTTTTTTTTTTTTTTTTTCCAAATGTGAAGCATGTGATTTTTTTTTTTTTTTTTTTTTTTTTTTTTTTTTTTTTTTGCCAAATGTGAAGCATGTGATTGCTGATTTTATTCTGTGTTTTGTTTTGTATGATACTGGTACCTCCACCCCCTCCATGAAATCTCAGAATATAAAACTTGTTCTGTGAATATTCACCTTGGAGTAACACTATAGGAATACAATGTTACAGGAATTGAGGTTTAACTTTTTCTGACATTTCCAAATAGCTTGGCGAGTTCTTTCTAATTTGTTGTCTTTATAGCTCTCAAGTTGAACCCAAGACAGGTCTGACTTAAGTAGCTGACCCTTATTGTTATTTGAAACTTTATCCCCATTGACTGGCAACTCGCTTTTATGAGCAGTTGGTGCTTAAGGGGAGACACTTTCTCTCCCTGAAGACTCTTGGGGGGTCTCTCTACTGTTGACAGGGGGATGACGCAGATATCACACATTTAGCAAATCATCATGGTGGGGTGGACAGACCTTCTAGAGTGCACGATGCAGCAAAGTTTGAAAACATAAATGCTGAGCTTGTTTTTACCTAAAATAGTGAGTGCCTGCGCTCACTATTTACAATGAATGGGCTTTCATGTGTTGTAAGCTCAGGCACGTATTAAATCTATTTTTGAAAGAATAAGTGCTTCTCTTGTTTTAAAATACTTGGGGCAGTTTCCTCTTTCTGAGTGGGATTTCTGTTTATGTGCATCATTGTATGGCACTTCCGGAGTCTTGGATTCCTGGGAAGCATTTTGTTGCTGACTGATTTCATCTTCAGGGCTGTTTTGGCTTAGATTTTACTTATTAGGTCAGGGCCTCCTTTAAAATATCGGTACTGATTTTATTGTCACGTTTTTCATAGTTTTGAGGCTGGCAAAGCTGGAGGATTCTATGGTGAAGTTTGGATGAGGTGGCCTTAAAAATCTCTTTAGGAGGTCACCAGAAGTGAGTGCTCTTTAACATTTTTATCCTTTTAATATAAACCATAAAAGTATGATTAGTTCTGGTTCTCCTACCTCTGCTTGGTAGTTATATAAAATTTGCGTGGCTGTGTCTAATCATAGCCTCATGATAAATTTTCTAATTAATACCCATCTTCATAAATGCACCTTAATTAAGTCTTTAGTCTTAGTAGACTTCTTTCTGAAAGTATAGGTTTTACGTTTTTTATAAAGGATTATAGGGACGAGGAAGATATGACTGGTACCTGATTTTAAAGTGCAGAAATAAAGCAGTGTTCCTTTCTTACCTTCTTCTCGTTACCAACTCTGTTTCCCTGAAGGATTCTTAGCTTTACTTCTTGGCAAGAGCCCCTTTTCTCCACGTCCCAGAGTCAAAGGACCTTTGTGAGTAACTGCCAGTCAGACTGCTTGTGAGCACACTGCCTACACATTCTATCCAGGTACTTTTAGCTACTCTAATTTCCAAAAAAAGTGCACTAGCACAGCTTCCAGCAACCATGAATTTAGAGAGATCTTTTATATAAACTGAGTTTGTTTTCATAAATTGGCCAAAAAGAAGTGTTTTGCTTAAAATAGAAGTGAAACAACAGCTTCCTCCTTCCCTGACCAAGTGTGTGTGTGGAAGAATTTGCAACATAGACATGTAGTCCAAAAAACACAGTGGTGAAATTTCCCCCATCCCCACACCCCAAGATTTTGGCAAATAAAGGTAATGTTTGGGTGGATTCAGCTTGAGAGACTTAACAGGCGTCCTCAAACTACGGCCCGTGGGGCACATTCGGGTGTTTTTGCCCGTTTGTTTTTTTACTTCAAAATAAGATATGTGCAGTGTGCATAGGAATTTGTCCATAGTATTTTTTAAACTGTAGTCCGGCCCTCCAACGGTCTGAGGGACAGTGAACTGGCCCCCTGTTTAAAAAGTTTGAGGACCCCTGGACTTAGAGAACCGAAGTGTCACTTTCCCTTCTGGAGGGAGAAACCAGGATCATATTTTTGGTGGAACTACTTCGTATTGCCATTGATTTTGGTTTTTACAAGGACTAGAATCTCACTGTCCTGTAGAGAATATGTAGCACTCTAGATGACAGGGCTAGTTCAAATTTGATGCCTAAACTTTATGGTGATCCTCCTTAAAAAAAAGGAAAAAAGATTGAACCTTTTCCAATATCCCTGTTGACACCAAGTAGTGCTCAGGCTGAGGTCCAGTCCTGCTACCACCTTGTTCTCCCTGCGTGCAGCTTGGTTCTTTTTTCCAACCTGGCGACATAAGTTCTTTGATTCTTGTATGAGTAGGAAGAGTGGTAGCTTGTTATTTTATCCTGTCCTTGGTGGGAGGTTAAACAGGTTAGTCAGAAGTAGCCTAACGAGGTTGTCTGGGCCCAGTAGAGCCTGTTACCAGAGCATCTTCACACGGCTCGTTTTGGAGCTCGCAGGCTCCATAAGGAGAAGGAATTTTCCTTAGCATGAAACCTGACGGCTCATCTGTGAGGTCCTAACACTGTGCTGCCTGCTACGTGTTACCCTCCCTAAGTGCCTAAGCGTGCTTTCTCTGCAGGGTCATGTGTTGCCACATGTTGTGCAAATGCTGTGTGTGTGTGTGTGTGTGTGTGTGTGGGCGTGCTATTGCAGTGTCATGAGCCCAGTTTCAATGTGTGTGAATATTTAGGGGTTGGAGGAGAACCTTTTTTTGCTAAGCTGACCTAAATACCTTTCTCCTGTGTGAAGGTTAAGCCATTCTGGCAGCACCTGCCACACCTGGGGAAGCCTCTTCAAGCTTTTGGTTTGACAGGAACTTTGGAGACAGGGTTGAAAATGAGTCCCTGAGCTGGGGGCAGTCAAGACTGAGGGGGTTGGCAGTCTAGTGACCTGTGCACCCTCTGCCACCACTTACTTTCCTCATCAGCGGGGTGGAAATGTGGTAGGCAACTTTGACCACATTGCCAGAGGGGGACCGTGCTGGCCATGTAAGGTGAGCCCTGCAGGGGCATACATGGGCCTGGCTGTCCTGCCGTGGCTTTGGTCTCTCAGTGGCAGCTGTCTGTGTCCAGCTTGGAGCAGCTGTGCTGGTTTGCAGCAAGTGGACAGACTAGGAAGGTCTCTGGTGCAGAGACTTGGTTGTCGCCTTTAACATGGGAAAGGAACCACTGAGGGCTGCTCATGGGCTCTCCTGTTTCAGTAAAGTTTTTCTGGAAGTCTTGGCCTGCCCTGAGCTTTGCTCTGGGCAGTGATTTATCACGATGGCAGAGAGTCAGAATGAGCAGAGCAGCAATTAATTAACTGGGATCTGTCTCTCTCGGGTGACTTGGCTGATGCCAGCACACTGCAAGTCCAACATCTGCATGGAGAATGCATACTGTGAACGAGAGTCCTGGTCGGATGAGAGCCTTCGCCCTCTGAGGTCCCGGAAGTGCTGCAGGAGCAGCGCCTGCTGCAGCCGGCTGGGCGACGTAGGAGAGAATGCCCAGCGGACCAGCCGCCTGCGTGCCATCCCTCGTCTTTTCCCTATTTTATGGGCCCCTGCCTGGCGGAGCTCATGGCTTTCCAGTTGTGGTCCTCATCCTGCTTGGGCTGTGGGAAGACTTTGGGCTGCTTAGAGCCTGCGGTCTTGCCTTCCTGTTTGGGAAATGGGTTGAGCCTGAGGCAGGGAGTCTCCACCTCTGGAGGCCGGAGCCACAGTAAGCTAACAGCCCCTGGAGAGGAGATTCTGTCTGGGTAAGAGCTTGCAGCCCTAATAGGAGTTGCATTCCATGACTCTCTGTAGCTGCGAGTATAGGATTCCGTGTTCCTTGCCTTCCCCAGTACAGATTAACACTATTTCCAAATTGAATTGTGTGCTTTCATTGTTTTTGTTAAATATGTATGTACATATATGTAATATTTTTTTTTAATAATTTCAGGTTGTTGAGGCATCTTCATTAAGCTGGGGTACCAGAATAAAAGGCTTCGCTGCGTGTTTTGCTATAGGAATTCTCTGCTCACTCCTGGTAAGATTTCCCTCTCTCCTCTCTTTTTCCTCCCTGTGCTCCTTCAGTATATTTCCCCCTTTCATCTGCCTCCTTTCTCCTTTTTTTATTTTTTTGTATTTCTTTTATTTTTTTTAAATATGGAATGCTTCAAGAATTTGCATGTCATCCTTGTACAGGGGCCATGCTAATCTTCTCTGTATCGTTCCAATTTTAGTATACGTGCTGCTGAAGCTAGCATGTCCTTTTCCCTTTTGTTCTGCAGTAGAATGCATGGGTGAGAGAAGTGGGAAATAAGGGAGGGAGACTGGCTTCTCTGGGCTTCCTCTGTGAGCCCCTGGTTGTGAGGCTGGGTAGGAGGGGTTGTTCACACGCAAACTCCCTGTGCTTTAAATTCCAGGGGACTCTTCTGCTATGGGTGCCCAGGAAGGGACTACCACTCTTTGCAGTGTTTTACACCCTTGGTAACATCGCATCAATTGGGAGGTAACCTTTTTTTTTTTCTTTAATCCAACCTTAGCCTGTCGTTAGATGGGGAAATGGATGTGGCTTGTGCTTGAGGGAGATGAAGGAGGATGCTCCAGTAGTTTTGAGGATTTGGAGAGAAAAGAGGTAGTTAGAATATATCACAATCACATGCTATTATTTTGAAACATTGTATATCGTAGTTTATCTTTGAAACACCTGGGAGAAAGCAGGAAATATATTGCCATTGTGATTTCTTGCATGAGGGAACTGCGACATAGAGCAGTTGAAAGCTGCCTCTGAGGTTCGTGACACAGTCCTCCCCATTGCTTGTAGTCTTGTTGCTGCTGGAGACTGAGTTGGTGGTTTTTCAAGGGCTTACCTTGCCAGTGGCCCTGGGTGAAACCGGTTTTTATATCCTGTCAGACCATCCCAGACCTGAATAGCAGCTCGTGCGGGCAGGGCGTCTGATGGAGCGCTTCCCAGAAATGGGCAGCCCGTTCCGCACGCTGCGGGTGCACGGACACCCCAGGCTGACAGCTGGAGTCAGTCTGCGTAGCTGGGAGCCTCTTCCTGAATGGCCTGCAGGAACCTGAACTCGGTCATCTTGCCTCCCCCTACCCCGTGATTACTCACCAAGGCTTGGTGTAGACCTGGCATACCTGGCTCCTTCTTTGTCCCCATGGCTGTTTGTCCCTCACTGACTGACTTACAAGCCCAGCGGGTAAGCATCGATCATACGCCGCGCTGGGCTGTGATGACACAGAGATAAGTACAGTTTGGTCCCGGCTGCCGTGGAGCTCACTGGTCAGCCAGGCAGGCAGCCATCATGGAATCAAATTGATGACACAACAGGACATGGAAAGAGAGATGCTCAGGGAGGGACAGCCGACCCGAGCTGACCCACAAGTTGGGGATGGGGGCCTTCCTAGATAAGGTGCTGAGCTGGTCTTAATCTTTGGCCTGCATCATTTCCCACCTGAACAGGAAGTGCCTGCTGGGTCCCTCTGCCTCCTTCACTGCCCCTCTCCAGGCCATTTTCCACCGAGTTGTGGAGCCATTTGCTCATAGCTGCATAACCTCCTTGAGTGGCCCCTGTTCCCTCTCCGCGTGTGGAGTCCAGACGCCTGAGCATGCGTACAAGCAAGGCCCTGTGAGCTCTGGCTCCCCAGCCAGTGCCCCTCCAGCCCGGACTGAGCTTCTTGCTTTTTCCGAGTGTCTTTGTGCTTTTGTTCAGGCTGTTTTCTCTGCCTAGAGTGCTGCCCTATCTGTACCTTCCTTGGTTTGATACTTGCTCCTTTGTCAAGACCTAGCTCAGAAGTCACCTCTTCTATGACACTCTTCTTCCTAATTTCGTCTTCCTCCCCAGAATCGATGGTCTCTTCCTTTGGGTTCTCTATAGCCCATCTATACTTAAGTGATGGCACAGGTAGCATTTTATTACACTGACCAGTTACATGTCCGTAAGCCATTGACAAGGGCTGTGCCTGTGTCTTACTTGTCCCCAGTTGTCCCCAAACCTAGCTCTGTGGCCGGAAATGTTAATGAAAAGTGGTTGAGTGCGTGACTCTTGGCACTTTCTTAAAGCTTGATTTATAATCAGTGCATATGACAGTAAAATGCTGCCCCTCAGAGATGTTTAATGTTGCTTCTGAAGCTTTCTCAAGTACTGACTTTTGTGGAATTTGTCTTTGGGCAGACAGTGTAGGTTATAATGTATAGTCTAGACTGGGCATAAATCTATGGGTATAATGCTTAATCCACAAGAGCTATTTAGCAAATCCTAATAGGATGGACTCTTTAAGGCACTGTGTAGGGGGACAATAAAGGGAGCAAATTGTTATTTCCAGGGTGTGTTTAGGAGTTTGCGGATTTCCCTGTAATCTCTTATATTTTATATCTATGCTGTGTTTCATTTTTAAGACCAGCCTTGGCTGTTGCTTCTTACTTGGTATAGACTAAAGAGGTAGGTGCACCCTTACTGGGCCACTTGAGCTGAGAGTGCAGCCTCGAATTCAAAGTTGTAACTTCATGGCGCTTCTAAGAGAAGACTTACTTTTTAAGTAAGAAGTAAGAAGACTTACTTTTTAAAATTCTTGTCTTTGTTGAATACTCAGTAGCTAACGTCTGCTGGTTGGCGTGTATTAAACACTAGCTATAACTGAGGAGCTATCACTGGAATGACACCACGTGGGCATTTTCTTCAGGACTCAGGAAACATGACGTAAAGCTGGCCCTTGCGCTTGGTGTGCAAGGCGTGATAATGGTCTGCTTCCTTTGTGATTACTCTCCCTGGACACCTCTCTGGTTCGTTCACACAGAATTCATGATGGGGATGTTTTTTGGCGTTTTGGAATGCGGTAGACGTGAGTTTGAAGTGAGTCAGCTCTTTGAGTTCCTATCTGTGTGATCTTGGATAAGTCAATTAACCTTTCTGAGTTTCATTTTCTCATCTCTAAAATAAATTTAATATATAACTCAGTGTTGTTGAGGGGCTGAAACAAGGTAATATATGTAATATCTGGCATTTAGCAAACATTCAACAGATAACAGATGATATTATCATTAGAATTATTCCTTGGAAATTATGAAAGAAAAAGAAATGCTCTACTTTTTAGCATAACCAACCTAAGCCTGTAAGGTATGGTTTATTATTGTTTTTTTAATTACCTGATCCTTTTTGGTTTGTTTCATGGGTAGATTGTCAAGGAGACCAGGTAGCATCTTCTAGAGATTGGGGCCATATAACCTGGTGGTATGAATAGGATTCTAGAGTCAGACCCGCATGCATTTACAGCAGGCGTCCTCAAACTACGGCCCACGGGCCACATGCAGGTGTTTTTGCCCATTTATTTTTTAACTTCAAAATAAGATATGTGCAGTGTGCATAGGAATTTGTTCATAGTTTTTTTTTAAACGATACCCTCCAACGGTCTGAGGGACAGTGAACTGGCCCCCTGTTTAAAAAGTTTGAGGACCCCCTGACTTTCAGCCTCGGTCTCTCATTTACTAGTTGGGTGGCACTGGGTAAGTTACCCTCTGGGCTTCAGTGTAATTGTTCCTATTCCTTAGGTTGTTGATAGATTAAACAAAAGTAATGCAGAAAAGGCCCTTAGGCACAGTGCCTGCCATAGAGTAACAGCTTTTCAAATGTTAGCTACTATTACAGTTTATTGCCACAGGAAATCTTGGGGCGGACTGAACGTGCCTCGTGTGGTTCTGGTCTGGTCTGACGGTTCGCATGTGTGTTTGCCTCTTAGTACCATCTTCCTCATGGGGCCAGTGAAACAGCTGAAGCGAATGTTTGAGCCAACGCGTCTGATTGCAACTATCATGGTGCTGGTAAGTTCTGCTTTGTAGCGGGGCTTTTCAAGTGAGAGTTTTCATTTCTGTTGTATAGAGTTTTTTCCCTTTTATTTATTTTTATTTTTTTATTTTTTTTGAGACAGAGTCTTGCTTTGTGTCCCAGCCTAGAGTGAGTGCCGTGGTGTCAGCCTAGCTCATAGCAACCTCAAACTCCTGGGCTCAAGCAATCCTCCTGCCTCAGCCTCCCGATTAGCTGGGACTACAGGCACGCGCCACCATGCCTGGCTAATTTTTTTCTATATATTAGGTGGCCAATTAATTTCTTTCTAATTTTATAGTAGAGACGGGGTCTCGCTCTTGCTCAGGCTGGTTTCCAACTCCTGACCTCGAGCAATCTGTCTGCCTCGGCCTCCCAGAGTGCTAGGATTACAGGCGTGAGCCACCGTGCGCCTGGCCTGAGTTTTTCCCCTTTTAAACCTAAGGTCTTCTTTCCTTTTTTCTTTCATCTTGCCTTATTCCCCAATTCCTGTGACCTCGTGGCAGAAGGGAGCGTTCTTCATCTACGGGTAGTAGGTAGTAATACCACGATTCCCTCCTGCTCCTCCGCGTGTTTCAGTTGGTGTCCAGGTGCTGCCAGTTCTATGAAGCACCCCTAGAGGGCGCTGCTTGTCAAATGAGCCCAACCGGCATGGTGGTGGTAGGAGAGCTGGGGCACCTTCCCGGTGACAGCTGAAGCCACCCACAGGCAGAGCTTGGAGGGAATAACCCAGAAACACAGGGCTCATTCTCTAGAGTGGGTGTCCAGTCTTCCAGGATGGGCCCTTTTTTTCCTTATCATTATCTGACTTTGGATCATGTTACTTGTTTTTTCATCAGTCTTCATGAAGTGGGAGCAGCCTCCTTATGGTCTGTCATCCTTGTCCCTTGCTCTGACAACAGTGCCTTCAGTTTTGTTAGAGCTTCCTGTCCTGTCTGCCTGGGATGCCTCTCATTTTTGGCCCATTCTCTTCCATGTGGCCGTGGAAATCATTCCAGACCACGGTTTCTGGACTGCTGTTACAATGATCAGTACTGCAGCTCTTGGAACTTGATCAAGCATACTTTTATTTTTAGTTTCATTTGTGTACATCTCATTTGTTCAGATAGGTAAGTTCTATAAAGTCATGGTCACATTCGCTATTTGTTTTGTGCCCTTTCAGAGCATCGAGCACGATGCTGGGCATAGAGGAAATACTTAGGACCTACTTCCTGAGCAGGGAGTGTCATAGAAGGAAAGGCATGGCTGACCGCTCGAGCACCAGCCGGTCTTGGCCAGCCCAGGACTCCCGTAGAATGAACTTTCTAAGAAAGGCCTTAGGGGAAGTGTTAGGTGACATGTAAACAAATAACCGGCTTGCTGACTGTGAGATCGACATCTCATGTTAACCTTTGTCCTTATATGCCCTTTCTATTCCAGCGCTGGCAGAAGTTAAAACATAGAGATTTGTGTTAAGCTTATTTTAGTGTGTTTGAATGACAAGATGGGTGGGCTAGAAATGGATTCTGTTTGCTGGGCAGAAATTCTGGGAACACCTGAAAGTAGAAGAGCATCTTTCTCTTTTTACTGTACATGAATATTTATTGGCCAATTTGATTTCATGGGGATTTTAACTTTTCTGCCAAACATGGGTGCTCAGGTGGGTTAAATGCTTTAAAATGAAGGATGGATGCATCTGGTTGCTGTGAGAACTGCATCTGCAGCCTCATAAGTACCGTTGTGAGCTTGTCAAGAATAAGTCTTACAGTTTTTTGTTGTTGTTGTTGTTGTTGCTATGTTGTCATTGTATTAATTAAATACTGTTTCCTTTCTTCCTCTAGTTGTGTTTTGCACTTACCCTGTGTTCTGCCTTCTGGGTAAGTGTGTATTTTAATTTTTCTTAACCTTTTTGGCTTGTGCCCCTGTCACACACTCTCCTGTGACCATATCATTTTTCTTTCAGTGGCATAACAAGGGACTTGCACTCATCTTCTGCATTTTGCAGTCTTTGGCATTGACGTGGTAGGTAACCTTTTATACAGTCCCCTCCTACATAGCCCTGTGACTGATGCAGCTGAAGGAGATAAAACCCACATGTTGTGGGCAGGAGGATTAGGAAAACATAGACGCTCTTTAAAAGAGTTCTCAGTGATGCACGTGAGGTCAGGCTCCAGAGCAAAAGCCCATCGATGCGGCCCACTGCCAACAGATGGCATTAGGGGTCTTGAGTGGCCACGGGAGGCTGCTTGTTTGCCTGCTGCAGCATTTTTGCTGGGCTCATGGTTGATTTTGAGATGTTGCAAACGTTATTTAAACCACTCATGTCAGTAAGTGCAAAGACAATGAAAGTATTATGAGGGCTGGTAAAAAGAGGCTTGTGAGTCAAGTAGATGCTAACGAAATAGGAAAGTGGTAAGAAAAATAAAGAGCGTTACATTTGTGATGGAATGAATCATTTAACAGAAGGACAAAGAGTGAATTGTCAGTAGGAGATGGGGAACAGTCACTGACAAAAAGGAAAACCGTGTGGCTGTGGGCTGTAGCATCAGCATGTGCACTGGAGTGGAGGCCTGTTGGCTTTTGGTAATTCAAGTGAAGACTAGGAAAGTATAACTCGAGAGCCAAGCACAGTTAAAGGGCTACTGGAGACGTTATTTTCCAAAACCAGGGGGCCTTTTCAAACCTGTACAACATCAAGGTTTGGTGCCATACAGAGGGGTGGGGGCAGGCATGGAATCTGCAGCTCCGGAGACATTTCTTAGCGTTTATATCAAGGGACAGTGTCTGCTAGAGCAGCTTCAGTATGGGTGTGGCTGATCTATTTTAGAAAAACATGTTTGCTATAATGCAAAGAAAAGAGGACTGTGGACGTTTTAAAGCGCCCAAGGATCAATGAACTCTTATTTGGTGATGAATCTTAAGACTGTAAGCTTAACCCCCACTCCTCCTTTTAGTAACTTTGGACTTTTGAATAAATATATTTTGAAAATGCCTTTTGGAATTGACTGTTTGTTCACAAGTAAATGAACTTCTGTACATGATAAGATGCAGAGGATGGTGGTGTGGTTTTAATATGACATGCACATTTTGGCCATAGGTCCTAAACAGGCCTGATTTGGTGGCTTATGTTTATATTTTGATTTTCCTCTGGGGGCAGAAATTGGTACCGACATACACATGCTTTTCTTTGCTTATAGACTTATTTTAAAGTCTGTTTCAAAGGTTTGGCATTCAGATGGGCTCAGATGAATAGCAGTATTCCCTTCAACACCGACGTATTCTGACTGCGTCTGCTTTTTGTAGGGCCAACCAACTTACAACCTGCCTGACACAAAGTACCTGTTTTTTAGAGTTATGGAGCTTATTCCCTGCTTGGTTGCCTTTTAGGCAACTGTGATTTACCAAGATACTTTGGGCATGGATTCTTTTATTTTTTTATATAAAATATGTTATCTCAGCCTTATTTATAATAGTGAAAACAAGGTGCAATCAAATGTGTAGCAATAAACTCTAGAGAATTGAGCCACCTTCAGGAGGTGGGGAGACGAGTAGAGGAGAAAGGGGTCTTGCTGTATTGCCCAGGTTTGTCTCGAACTCCTGAGCTCAAGAGATCCTCTTGTCTCAGCCTCCCGAGGTTCCTTGAAGAATTGTATCTTTGTAGAATTTACATGCATAGAATTTACATGCATGGAGAATTTACATGCATTGATAGTGTGCCTCCCCTTTTTTGTTCTATGTTCTTTAAAATATTAACAGGAGTAGAATAGAGAATTTATCCTAATTGGGTAGAAGTTAAATTCTGTCGAGGATCTATAAAATGTTAAGAGTTAACTATTGAGATTTTACTTGGTATTTTTTCGAAGAGGGTTCCTATGCTATCTGGATATCTGGAATGTGCCTATTTTAGGTGATTGCTTCTTGCTCATTTGGTTAGAGCAGTACCCCAGTGAGGCCGAAGTCACAGGGTTTCTCTCCATGGCTGTACACGTGGCACAGTGTACAAGTGGACCTTTGTGTGTCCATGCGCATGCCCCAGGCGGAGAAGGGGAGAGGGTCTGGATAAATCGTTGCAGAGGTTCCTACAGCTCAGAAGCCCATCCCACTGTGTAATCTTCTACTTCCTTCATTTGGTTTGATCTTTTGTTTGTTTTTCATTGTAGGTATAGCCTCTCCTTCATACCGTATGCAAGGTAAGACTAACTGTGTATTTAGAAGTACAATTTCTGTCATTTGAGGACGATGCTATGTTCGCATAAGGCCTTTTAATTTAAAGTGTGCTTTTGGAGAGTACATGCTATTTTATTTATCTTTACTAAAATCTCTTGAGTCAAATAGGCAAACGTACATCTGTTTTATAGATGAATAAGCTAAAGGTCACCCCTCTACCCACCCATATTATACAACTAATGGTGGGTGTTGATCCAGGTCCACTAATTCCCGATAGTGTTGAACATTTCACTCTGCTACATAGTGCATTTATGCACAGTATCTTTTAACCTGGAGCTTTGAGTAGGTTTTTTTTTTTTTTAGGGTGACTATCACTTGAATATCACTGAGCAAGAGATGGAGGGATCTCAGTTTGTGCTTGTTTTCTTGTAGTAGCCCACTGATGGGAACGTTTCTAAAGAGTTTATAAAGGGAAAGTAATCAGGACCAGGGCTTCCTTACTAGCAGCGTGACCTTGGACAACCCTCTTGACCCCTCTGGCCTGGGCTGAGGCATTGATTACTATACTGGGTTGGATAGAGGCCTCATTCGAACTCTGCAGTTCTAATACTTTTTCATTGGCGGCCTCTCAAAATCAGCCATGTGATCTTTGCCCCTGACTCTGTTCTAATGCAACTATTTAGCTTCCATCCTTCTTTATCATTATCTGTTAACTAAAAAAAAGGCTTTTCCTTAACTGCATTGAGGAAATGAAAAATGATGCCTGACCTGGAAGGCAGGAAGAGCAATCCCCCGTCTTTTGCATTCCAAGTCTGTTGCTGAGAGTGATTTGAAAGTGCTGAGGACTGATTAGATGAGACGTCAACAAGCCCAACAAGTCAAGGCAGCTGGGTGGCTTTGTGGATAGGTTCTAGGAGGGTAACAGTTATGAAATACTCCATGCAGACCTGGCCAGTTTTGGGGAGTGGTGGCTTGTCTGAGAAGATTATGGGCAGGGATGTCCTAGGGAGCTAGGTTTTTATATGAAGTGAGCCAGAGCCCATCATAGCTGAGCATCCAATGAGATATTGATCAACCTGCCAACATTTGAATATATCTTGGTGCCTGAACCGGCTACATAATTTGTGAGGCCTAGTGCAAAATGAAAATGTGGGCATCTTTTTTTTTTTTATTTATTTTTTTATTTTTTTATTTTTTTTTCTTAAAAACTAGCTATGACTGGAAATTTTTATTATACACACTTATTTTAACAAAGTTAAACCGACTATTTACCCCCAAACAATACTTTAGGTTTTTTACCCTTCACAATAAGCTTAGTCTCATTTTATACAATGTTTTTTTAGATTTATTTACATGTTTACCATTTCACATTTTGCTTTTAAAGTCATTTTTCTTCTGAAGAATATCTTTTGGAAATTATTATTATTTATTTATTTTTGAGACAGAGTCTTACTCTGTTGCCCTGGCTAGAGTGCCGTGGCGTCAGCCTAGCTCACAGCAACCTCAAACTCCTGGGCTCAAGTGATCCTTCTGCCTCAGTCTCCCGAGTAGCTGGGACTACAGGCATGTGCCACCATGCCCGGCTAATTTTTCCTATATATTTTTAGTTGGCCATTTAATTTCTTTCTTTCTTTCTTTTTGAGACAGAGTCTCACTTTGTTGCCCAGGCTAGAGTGAGTGCCATGGTGTCAGCCTAGCTCACAGCAACCTCAAACTCCTGGGCTTAAGCGATCCTTCTGCTTCAGCCTCCCAAGTAGCTGGGACTACAGGGATGCGCCACACCTGGGCATCTTTTTAAAAAGCGATCTTAAGGATTTCCAGGTGGTGACATCAAAGCATTAAACTCGGTGCAGACCCTTTAAGCATGGGGCCCTGTGCAGTTGCACAGGTCTTAGCCGTAAAGCTTGTGTGGTGTCATTCTCCAGGGCTGCAGGCTTGATCTGGATTGCCATGTATAAAATACATACATACAAACAAATATTCATGTTTTATACATGTATGTTAAGTGGTTGGTAGGACAGTGGAATTCTATTTGAGTTTTCATGTGCCAAGCAGATAGAAATTTCCTGTAGTAGGGAGGGAATCACAAAGTTAGGTCCTGCCCTTCTATTTGTAACTTCCCCTAGAATAGCTTTTCCCACAGTGTTCCCTAGAAACAGAAGAGCGTTCTCTGATCAAGTAAGTTTGGGAAAAAAAGTTAAGCAACATCAGGCAGGTTGGTGTTTGCCTGGCTTTCCAGATCCTTTAATGAGCTGTGTGTATTATGAGCAGCCACGACTGAGACTCCTGTGCCCATAAAACCCTTCTTGTGCACAGCACCTCTTGGGACTATAGCGCGGAGCATATCTCAAGAAGTGCTGCCCTGCAATCACCTTGGTATTAAAATGCAGCGCCTGCTCATGTAAATGGGTTGTTCGCCGCTCCCTCCCTTGTGTGATTCTCAGTTTCCTTAGTGCAAGTGCAGTCGAGAACACGGAAGGAACAGAGCTGGGCGTGAGAAGCCTAGTGCCGCGTTGCACAGCGAGGTGTGGTGCTGGAAATGGTTATGCTTGCTGGGGCAGAACAGTAATTTGCTGAGCACCCACTCTTTCCTTGCACTCTTTATACTGGATTCCAAGGAGGAAATGCCTGTGATGGGGCTGGTACAGCATGTTAATAAGCGCTTGGTTCCCATAGAGAGATCTCTGTCTTAGGGAGCTCCTGAAAGGTGTCCCTTAAAAAGTTCTGCTGCCTGCTTAGACTGAAGAAAGGTCCTCGTGACTATTTGACTTAATACTTTCAGTGTGTTCTGTGATTATGGCTGATATTAAAATGCAGCAGTCCTAATTTCTTATTTTCTACCAGCCTGTACTTTGTTACCTTTTCATTTGATTAGCTATCGTTTATTAAATACCTATTCTGTGCAGTGCACTAATTCCTACAACCAATCTGTAGGGTAAGTGAGGCATTTGCAACTCAAAGAGGACAAATAACTTGCCTAGGTCATACTGCCAATAAACGTTGAAGCTGCGGTTTTCCACTCTGCAGCTGCTACTCGGGGTGCCAAGGAAACCGTAAAGGAGAGCCTTTGGGGTGACGGTATGTTCTACTCATCTTTGTGTTTTTTTCCTTCCTAGGGATGCTGTGAAGAAGTGTTTTGTCACGTGTCTTGCATGATACACGGCCGATTTTGCAAAGCTTCGGAAGGCACTATGGATGGAAGCTGGTGGACGGTTTTGTAAATATCTTTTAAACCTCTGTCTTACAGACATGTGCCTTTTATCTTGCAGCAACATGTTGCCTGCGATTCAAACATTTGAGACTTGCTTTTGGAAGGAACACCGTGTTTCCAAACCTGAATGTCTGTAGCACGGTATGAGAAGTGAGTTCTGTTCTGTAGCTTATGGATTGGAATCTTCCTCACGCACCTCTTTGGATGTCGTCCCTCACAAATAAAAACCAGTTAGGCAGCAGCAGATAAGCCTTGTGTGCCAGTGATGCCCAGGTGGCAACAGGCAGCCCCATCAGAGATTGCAGGGGTGCAACAGTAAGGGACAGGATTTGGGGATCAACAGGGGCTTTGCTACTTGTCCCTCAGCATGGAAACCATCACCACTGCCCCACATAGAGTGGACATGCTCTGGCATCTGAGAACAAGTGATCCTGCCTCACACAAGCCCGTGGGGAGCCTGGCCGTGGAGGGAAGTAGAAGATAGGCACTTTTTGGTGGTGTATGTTGTTTCTTAATCTGAACCCAGGCACCCTCGCTGTTCTGATTCTACGCCTCACTGTCGAATGCATTTTCTAACATTCCATGCAGACTCTTTTTCTCTTGGGTTTTTCTTTCCATCTCCTCCCTCCACCTCTCCCTACATATCTTTACTTAGGACACCTTGGCACTAGGTGGAGAGAGCAAAGCAGCAACAGAAAACACTGCTATTTCCTTTTGGACGAGCAAATAGGAGGTGAGAAAACTTGCTGCTCTTAGCTGTACGTTTTTTCTTCATCGTTTATAAATGCTTGCTTTTGAACTGATCTTATTTTCCCTTCTCCTCTGGAGCGGGGGCCAGGGCAGAGTGGATGGGAAGACAGATCCCCACTGTAGGCCCAACAGGAAGTCAGCACGCCTGCCCAGTGACCTTAGATAGCCCCAGCATTTGCACTTCAGCCTGTGCTCCAGGCACTGCGGAGGACCCCGTGGATGGCACGTGGTCATGTTGCAGCCTCACGCGCCTAACCACATACAGAGTGCTTTTGTGTCCCTGGTCTTATCTGGTCCTCGTGAGAGCCTTGTGACGGAGCAGGGATTGGCACCCCACCGAGCAGTCGGGGAAATCGAAGCTCATATTGGTTTTCAGATCCACCCACAGCACAGGCGTGGCAGCGTCGGGCCCAGAGCCCGGGTGCACCAGCCTCAGCCTCCTTCGTGACCCGGTGTTTCCTCTCTGGCTGTACCACCTGTAACTTTTCACCAGCCAAGCCTGTGCCTTTTCTAGTTCCTGTCTCTTTATGTCAAGTCACATGTGTCACCTCGTACCTGGCCCTGCCTGCTCATCTCCCTTTCTGGAAGCTTCCTCCTGGGGTCTGTAGGATGTTCATTGTTCCCTTGTGTTCCCTCTCAACTTCTCTTTGCTGCCTAATCATCAGTGTCTTTTGTTAGCCAGGGTTCCTGGCACTCTATGTCCTCTGCAGTCACCCCGTAAATGAGGTCCATTTGGATTTGCCTTTCTGCTCTTTATCCCAGGCCAACTGGTTCGCTTGGGCTCCTGCTCTGGCCCGTCCAAACCAAAGGCAGTGGCCACTTGTTGTCTCCTAGCTTGTGGCTAACTGCTGAACTTCTTTATCCTGCCGCAGCCAAGAACTCTGGCCTTTTCTTCTGGGAGCTGGGGGGGTGTGAACAGGCCTGATGGGGCTGGAGGGAGGAGCTGGTCTTCCCCAGGCCCTTTCTGGGCTGTTGGGAGCATCCTGTCATATGCTGAGGTCCATAACCTGCCTTCAGCCAGGGTGGGAAATTATATGCCACCCTCTGGCTTCTGTGGGGCTTCTTCATGTCCCAGGTGCCTCTTGGAAACAGTTGAGATATCAGAAGGGCTCTGGTGCCAGGAGTACCCGTGGTTCCTTCTCTTCGGAGCTGATGTGAGGCAGGCCTGGTGGATGCCAAGAGCTCCGACAGCCTGCAGCAGGACACCTAGAGGGCCGGCCCCTCCTGCCCTTTGTAATGGCTGGACTTGACTTTGGGGGACACGAGGCTGAGTTGCCTTTTAAGGTGCCCCCAGGGCCATATATCATAGTGGTAGTGAGACTGAGTGTGAGCTTTGGCTCAGTCACATGCTAATCGTGGCATGTTGAACAAGTTACTTAACCTCTGGTTCCTCAGTTTGCTCTTCTGTTTGAAAGTGGTGGAGGCAATTCCTGCAGCAGCACTGCAGGCTGCCAGTGAGATACGTGTCAAGTGCTTAGCTTGGGACCAGCATAAGCAAAGTCTCAGTAAAGAGCAAGTGTTAGTATTTAATCCCCCAGATAACTGATGACCTGATAACGAAATAACTGATGGAAGGTGACAGAATGAACGTCTCTGACCATTAATTTGTCTAAAAAATATTTGTCTAGTACTACGTATCCAGCACTATAGACACTGCCACGTTTTATCTCATTTAGCATTCACAGTGACTGCCAGGCAAATGGCATTGTCTCCGTTATTATTGCTGAGATCAGCCAGCCTCCCAGAGGGTCAGGGGCCTGTCCCAGATCTCACCAGTAGATGGCGTCAGGGAGATGGGGGCTTTGTGGCCAGTTTGCTCAGACAGCTCGTGTCATGACACTCAGCGGGTTTCCTGTCTTCTAGCAGTTTCCAGAGTTCTGAATGTTTCCTTCTGTCGCCTTATCCTTTGGCCATTTCCCTGCTTGCTTTTGTCTAGACAGTGGGAGGAAGAAATCCATTTCAAAACTGCTAAAACCTGTTACCAAGCAACAGCACTGGTTAAAAAGCAAAGCTAGTGGGTGAGACAGGAGTAGAGAATTAGGCTTCCAGACTGTGGCTGGCGGTGGTCCGTCTCCCGGCCACCCGGCCTTCCATCCTAGCTGTCCACTGCTGGGTGAAGGAGGCGTCACTGCGCTGTAGGAGTGAAGGGACCACTGAGCGACTCCTTTGCAGGTGGGGACGTGGTGCTCAGCCAGGGACGCAGCCGTGAGGAAGCAGTTCCCCGGTTGCCCTCTGCCCCCAGCTGTTGGCTCTTTGAGTGCTGTATTGGGGGGAGCACCGCCCTCTGGACCAGCAGAGGCGGCTTCCTGCCCCTCTCCCCTTCTCCGAGGCCCTCGAGACTCTCACTGGGCGTCAGGCGGGTTGCGTGCTAACTCTGTCTCCCGTCTCATATCAGAAAGGCTTCCCGTTTGCAGCATGTGCTCAGCTGGAGCTTTTAGTTCTCAAGCTCCTCCGTGTGGCTGCTGCTCAGACCGCAGCTCCAGCCGTCTTGTCTCCTTATTTCCGGGAAGCGCCGAACACTATTCCCCAGTTTAGGGTTTTCACTGGGCTGGTTATCTCCAGCGCTGGAACATCTGTCCATCACCCTCCTACGGTGACTTTGTGGATTATCTGCCTGAGTGTGCCACCTCCCACCATAATCACTGTATCTTCAGGGAGCAGGAAATACAATCATGAAACGCATTGTCAATAAGGTCGCTTTGTGATACCTCCATTAGGATAGATAACAAGAGACCATGCCTTCAAAGGTGTGGCAAATGCTGGATTGGCGTCTGCTTTCGATAGCCTCATGAAAGTGACAGGTGCTGCAGCACAAGTGACGAGATTTGCCGGAATGAGTACAAAAATCGAAGCTCAGCCCTGTGGCTGTGGCTTTCCTTTTCTGTGGGCCAGCCCACGCCAGACTCTCTCTGTCTTCTCTTCCCTGACTAGAGTCAGCTGCAGGATTATCAAATACTTTAAAATTCACAACCTATTCCGAAACCTCATTTTCAGCAAAAAACAAACAAAAAATCCAACCTCAGTGTTTAAAGATCTGCGAAGCCATTTGCTAGATTTTTGGCGTAGTTTTTTTTTTTTTTTTTAGTTTAAACAAATCCAAGTTTTTTTTTTTTGTTAAGTTTAAGATTTGCAGTAGTTTATTTGCAGATAGCATTTTTAAAAAAGTTAGTAGACGCCTTCAGCTGAAATTAAATACAGATTTTATGTACGTCATTGTAACTCTTGGTAAGATATAAAAACCAGAAATCTAAATTTTTATTTAAAAAGTTGGTTCGGAGGTCAAATTATGTGACTTTAAAGTACCTTCTAATTAACAATTTTATGAAATTCTGAGATCTTCTGTGTTTTTAGTAAAGAAGAAAGTACGGTGAAGTTTGATTTCAGTTCACTCAAGAATAGGGTATTTGGTTGCACTTTGGTTGTTTCCAGTTCTCCAATAAAAGCATAGGTGACACTCTGAAGTCCTTGATGCTTACACTTTACCCTTGATTTATCAGATTTTTGTTGCAGGGAAGCAAATGGGGAACAGCAAAGCCTTTGTTAATGTAAATTGACAAAAAATTACATCCTTTTTTAGCAGGAGCTGACAAACTGATAAGGGGCTTATGATTTTCTGTGTGCAGGATGTTCTGAAACTAGGGAAGAGTGAGTCCACTAGGCAGGACAGACTTTGCTGTTTAAAATGAAAGGTCAGTTCACAGCATCATAACAAACAATAGTGATGCATATATTCACAACAAAGTAACGTCACTAGGTGTAATAAACAGCTATTTAAAAAGGGAAGACAAATGGTCTCTAGTATAAAAGGGCTGGCTACCTGGACATAACATCCTTGTGAAGCATCTAAAGGTCAAATTGAGGCTGGTGTCTGGGTAAATTTGCTCTCTGCCTGTTGAGTATCTGTACTAGAGCAGGTAATGAGCCTTGTTCTAAATACAAATGAGCCTTGTATTTGTGTAATCCCCTAAAAGGAGAGCTATAGTTTACATTCAATTTTGTGATCTTTCTGCTGTGAACAGTGTTTATTTTGCCTTTTTCAATGTTTGGTTGACTTAGCAGCCTTAAATAAGGAAAGGAAAAAAAAAATAACCCTCTGAAGTCTGATCTTTTGCTGCTTTTGTAAATTCTGATTGTGAAGTTGGGAGTGAAGATGTTCAAAAGCCCATGGTGAATTTCTATGCCTTCAGAACATTGTGCCTGTTTTAATATGATGAGCTTTTAAAATACTTTGTTAAAACATGAATCAGTTTTTTGTAATTGTGTAGATACTCGTAAGTAATTTTGAATGCCACTCATTGTATAACTAAATTTTTATATCCAGAAATATATTCTTGAGTACTACTTTTCCTACCTTGAGAATCTATTTCATATAATAAATCTTGTTTTCTTTTTACTAACTTATTTCAAAGAGAATGTTGCTAAGCTGTTTCCCCCTCCTCCATCACAATTATTGTTATTTGCTGTTTTTTCCTTTTCCAATAAATGGTAGCATAATCTTTAATAAATCTAGTGTTGTCTCTTATTCACGTCTGTTTTTCCAAGAGTCACTAAGACAAATGAAGATTGCATAACTGTTAGAAAAGGTCATATCTTTAATTTGAATTTTTAGTGTTACAGCCCACATGATAGGCACTTAAAGGTTTTTGGGGAAGCTAAATTGATATGTAGTCCTCTCAGGGTTTTAGGGTTTCACATGGGTCTAAGAACAGTTTTGAAGGGTTTTGAAAGGTAAGAAATTTCCCCAAGTGTTTATTTTGGAATATTCCTGCCCACTTAGCTGGTTTAGTTATTTTTTGTAAAGTAGGTTGTCAAATTAATTGACATAAAGTTGTTCATAATGTTTCTTTATTCTTTTAATATCTGTAAGATTTGAATTTATGCCCCTTGTTTAATTGCTAATACTGATAATTTGAGTTGTTTTTTTTTTTTTTTTTTTTTTTTTGAGACAGAGTCTCGCTTTGTTGTCCAGGCTAGAGTGAGTGCCATGGCGTCAGCCTAGCTCACAGCAACCTCAAACTCCTGGGCTCGAGCGATCCTTCTGCCTCAGCCTCCCGAGTAGCTGGGACTACAGGCATGAGCCACCATGCCCGGCTAATTTTTTATATATATATATATCAGTTGGCCAATTAATTTCTTTCTATTTATAGTAGAGACGGGGTCTCACTCTTGCCCAGGCTGGTTTTGAACTCCTGACCTTGAGCAATCCGCCCGCCTCGGCCTCCCAAGAGCTAGGATTACAGGCGTGAGCCACCGCGCCCGGCCGAGTTGTTTCTTTTTTTGCCTTGATCAGTGTAGCTAGAAGTTTATTGGTTTTTTAAACTGGTCTTTTCAAAGACAAGTAACTTGGTTAAGATTTGAACACACATTTAACAAAGGAAGATATGTGAATAGCTAAAAAAACACATCTAGTACATACTGTATTAACATCTGAGGTTAAAAAAAATAGGTAAAATGACTCTAAAGTTCTTAGGTGCCTTCGTAGGTAGTAAAATTATAATGAAAAGCAAGGAAATAATTGGTTTAAAAGGATAGTGATTACAAGGTGTGGTGGCAGGTGCCTGTAGTCCTAGCTACTCGGGAGGCTGGGGCAGAAGGATTGCTTGAGCCCAGGAGTTTGAGGTTGCTGCGAGCTAGGCTGATGCCACGGCACTCTAGCCCGGGCAACAGAGTGAGACTCTGTTGCACAAAAAAGGATAGTGATTACTTTGGGAGGGACAGCAAGGGTAGTGATTGGGAGGGGACATGATACAGGGTGCCCCTGATGCTGGTCATGTCTTCTTTCTTGATAAAGTGGTAAGTACAAGGTATTTGATAAGTCATTGTGCTCTATACATGTATATTTTTTTTTGTTTGTGTACTTTTCTGATATGTTTTACACTAACAGAACCAGCTTTTAATTTTCACTGATGTGGGGCGCGGTGACAACGCCATTAAAATATGGCGCTGATATCCGGTGCCTCGCCCTTGCTTCTCCCGCTGGTAAACAAGTTCTGCGCCTGTGTGTCGAATGTAACAATGATATGAGTTCTGCTTTGCAGTGTATATAAAAAACTGCCCTTCCCCTTTTCTGGGTCTTCCGCAAAATGAACCTAAGGGATCCCCAATAAAGCACGGTCAGAAACCTGTTGCCGCGTCTTCCTTGCTGGCGAGGCGGGCGCGACAAGTGGTGCCGAAACCCGGGAAAACGAAACAACCTTGAAGCACCAGCGGAGACGACCTCATTAGGAGGTGAGTTCAGAACTGACGTGCGGGACGGCCGTTCTCTCCCTTTCCCAAGTCACTATGGGCAACATACCGCTTCGGCGCTTTGTGTGGCTCTGAAGAACTTTTATCTAGTAATAGGATTCACATTGAGAAACGCGATTTAAAAATTTTTGAGGAAGTGGACCGGATTGCCTTGGTTTTTGGCTCTTGGTTCGCTGACGATAGCGTCCTGGAAAAACTAGGAGAGAACCTTAAGGAGCATCAGATTTACACGTGTGCTTCTGCTTCATAAATAATTTTTAGATTGTTGAAAGGTGATCCTCCTCGGTTCTCAGAGTGCTCAGAGCAATTACGGAGTTCAGTCGAGTGTTCAGAAGGAGGTTGTGGGGGAGGTGCTGCAGCGATAAGTGAAAAGGAGAAGTTGATAAACAAGCAAACAAGTCGGGGACAGCTCAGGGCATTGGCCACGCCCCTGCCCCGGTACCACAGTTTCTCAACGCTTGCCTTTGAGCCTCACTCTGACAAGTCTGGGTCCTCGTCCGAGTCTTCTGACTCCGAGGGAGGAGACCCTCCGTGCCCTACTTTCGCTGACTTAAGGAGGGAGCTCCGGCGGCTCAACACACAGGAGGCGAAGACAAGATCGCTCCTGAAACTGCTCCAGGTGCAGCGGCGGAGTACTAATGGCCGCCCCGTATAGCCCAGAGTCAGATGAAAAACTAAAAAAGAAAGAGAAACCAGTTTTTCAGAAAGCGGCAGGTTGAGCGGTACCGCACCTCCGCATGCCCGCCTTGAAGGCTGGGTTTTCTTAGGGGCCGCTCGCCACTGAGGAGCTTCTGCCCATACCCTGGAAAACAGAGGAGCCAGTGTGGGTGCCTCAGTGGCCCTTGCCTAAAGAGAAGTTACATGCTGCCTGTGATTTAGTACAAGAACAGCTTACTCTTGGACATCTTGAACCCTCTCAATCTCCTTGGAATACTCCTATTTTGTAATAAAAAAAAGTCTGGTAAATGGAGACTGTTGCATGACCTTAGAGCAATTAATGCCCAGATGCAGCTTATGGGGCCTGTTCAAAGAGGATTGCCCCTTCTCTCAGCATTGCCTAAACGTTGGAGCCTTATTATTATAGACATCAAAGACTGTTTTTTCTCTATTCCTCTGCATCCGCAGGATAAGAACAGATTTGCATTCACGCTGCCCTCCACAAACCACGAGCAGCCTGATGCAAGATATCAATGGCAGGTTTTGCCTCAGGGCATGGCTAACAGTCCCACTATGTGCCAACTTTATGTGGCCTCAGCTATCCAGCCGGTTAGGCAGAAGTTTTCAAAGGTAAAGATTATTCACTACATGGATGACATTCTCTTATGTCATCGTGATGAGGGCATGCTTCACCAAGCTTACGCATCCCTTCAGGCTCACTTGAAAAGAAAAGGCTTGTTGATTGCCCCTGAAAAGGTGCAAGAGGGAGAGGTAGGCACGTTTCTTGGCAGTAATATTCTCCCTGACAAGATTGTGCCCCAAAGACTGTCCATCCGAAGAGATGCCTTGAAGACCTTAAACGATTTTCAGAAACTGCTAGGAGATATCAATTGGCTTCGACCTTTTTTATGTCTTACCACAGCAGAGCTGAAGCCATTATTTCAATTCTAGAGGGAGACTCACACATCACGTCTCCTAGAACTTTGACTCCTGAGGCCCTTAAGGCTCTTCATAAGGTAGAAGAAGCCATTCAAAGGGCGCAACTAGTGCGCATTCAACACCATGATCCTTTCTCCCTCTGTGTACTCCCTTCTCCCACGCTCCGTACGCGGCGGTGCTTTGCAGGATGGTCCCCTTTTATGGTGCATCCTCAAGCCTCTCAAGAAAAGTGATTGCCATTATCCTACCTGTGTGGCTGAAATAGCATTAAAGGGTATTAACTGCTGTTTCTCATTTCGGACGCTTTCCTAAAGCCTGATCTGTCCATATACTGCCAATCAGGTAAACACCTTATGTGCCACTCTTGATGTATGGGCCATATTAAGATGTACCTTCCCAGGGAGCATTGACAACCATTAACCCAGACATGCCTTACTGCAGTTTGCAATGAGAAACGAGCTCATTTTTCCAAGAGTAACGTCACTGTTACCTTTGGTTGATGCCTTGGATGTGTATACCGATGGCTCTAAGACAGGTATTGGGAGCTATGTCATTCAAGACAAGGTATATCAAAACAGTTTGACTATTCTTCCCTCAGCTAGTAGAGTGTGCCATAGTCGTCTGGTTTCCAGTACCATCACTGAACCTATCAACATCATCTCAGACTCCTTTTATGTGGTCAACGCAGTTAAACAGTTAGAAAACTCCTTTCACATTCTTGCCAAAAGTACAGTCTTTTCTGTATTTACAGAAATTAGGAATACTATTCTAAACAGAAAAAACCCATTTTCTGTCAGCACATCAGAGCCCACTCTCTGCTACCAGGACCCATGGTGGCAAAGAACAACTTGGCAGACCGCGCCACTCGGGCCCTCTGGGTAGCAGACCCGCTTGTTGCTGCTACTGAGTTTCACAAGTTGTATCACGTGCCAGCCGAAACTCTGCGCCTCAAGTTCAACATCTCTCGCGCTGAGTCTCGTGACATAGTTCTGCAGTGCGCACCTTGCGCTCCCTTTCGTTCTGTTACTCACACTGGGGTTAACCCCCGAGGGTTGCGCCACTGCAACTTTGGCAGATGGATGTCACCCACATTCCTTCATTTGGCAAATTACAGTATGTGCATGTTTCTATTGATACCTGCTCAGGTATCCTTCATGCTACTCCTCTGCCTGGGGAAAAGGCCAGTCAGGTAATTACCCACTGCCTAGAGGCTTGGGCAGCCTGGGGTAAACCCCAGATTGTCAAAACTGATAATGGCCCAGCCTATGCTTCCAAAGCTTTTCAACAATTTTGCACTCGCTTGGGTGTAGAGCACCGCACCGGTCTTCCCTACAACCCTCAAGCGCAAGGCATTGTGGAACGTGCCCATGGCACACTCAAAATGTATCTGCAAAAACAAAAGGGGAGATGCCTTACCGGCAATAGCACCAAAAGGACGCCTTTCCCTTGCTCTCTTTACTTTGAATTTTTTGAATTAGATGCCAGAGGGCGCTCCGCCGCTGACAGGCATGTTGCACCTGGACAGCCTAAGAAGGAGCTGGTAAAGTGGAAGGATGTGTTGTCTAACCAGTGGAAAGGCCCGGATCCGGTAGTGGCCAGATCCAGGGGATCTGTTGTGTTTTCCCACAGGACCAAGAGAACCCTGTTTGGGTACCAGCCCGGCTGACCAGACTAGTCCGCCCAGATCCCAGCGACGATGAGCCTGTTGTGGCTGAGCCTGCTGATGGACCTGATGATGACGGGGTCCGGGGCGGAGCCCAGGTGGGCGGTGATGGACGTCTTCCCGATGCCGATGCGATCCGCCATGACTCCACCGTCTTTCCTCGTTTCCCACCAACATCTCACTGGACCTGCCTTATGTTCCTTTCGACCCTGACCAGGCAAACTTTTCCCATAGCGCAAACATTACTATCCCAGGGTCACTTTGCTTTGAATGTCAACTCGCAGCTTAAAGGAGGAATTACGATCATAATCAAAGAGTGGACTTAGTCCAAGAACAAGTGGACTCGTTATTGCAGCTTGTGCAGCTGGGATGCGAGCAGCGGTGGCCCGGTTTATGTGTTACCTCCATCTCCATCATAATTGGTCCCGTGCAGCAAACTTGTCTCGCCAACTGTCCCATTACCTAATGTCTAATTGGTCTCATGGATTTGAGGGACTGTTACTTGAGTTACAGCAATCCATTATTCATATTAATTCTACACGGGTTGATCTTGCTGTTGCTGAAGGTTTAACTAGCTGGATTTCACAGGCTGCCAATCATCTTAAGGAATGGGCTGGTATGGGTGCCTTGGCAGGTCTCCTTGTGCTTATTGCCATATTAGGGCTCACATGTATTGTCAGAATGGCGCGTCAGAACCAACGTAATCAGATATTGATGATTCAGGCTTTTGCTGCGTTAGAGCTTGGGCAAAACCCACAGGTTTGGCTAAACATGTTGAACTAGGGCGCTGTTATCGCCCCAGCAGCCCCCCCGAGTTGGCTGTAAGGTTACTCCATGACGGGAATGCATGGGGCCCCATCATTGAGCGTCGTAGATTTGAGCCATGATGGGGAGAACCCATGTGCCTAAGACAGAGGCCTTACCCATTTTGTCTGCCTGGCAGTCAGCCTTTGCACGCCTCCGAGTTCTGCTCATTGCACGAGGCAAGGTGACAGCTGTTGGCTATGAGGCTCTGCAGCCTTGATCGCTCTGTCGAAGGACGGGGCTGAGCGGCTGCTCAGTGCTCATTTATTAAATAAAACAGGGGGAGCTGTGGGGCCCGGTGACAACGCCATTAAAATGGCGCTGATATCCGGTGCCTCCCCTTGCTTCTCCCGCTGAAAACAAGTTCTGCGCCTGTGTGTCGAAGTAACAATGATATGAGTTTCCTGCTTTGCAGTGTATATAAGAAACTGCCCTTCCCCTTTTCTGGGTCTTCCGCAAAATGTAACCTAAGGGATCCCCCAATAAAGCACGGTCAGAAGAACTCCTGTTGCCGCGTCTTCCTTGCTGGCGAGGCGGGCGCGACACACTGATTTTTCACTATTCATTATCTGTTATTTGAATTTTTTCCTCTTTATTATTTTCTTGCTTATACTTTAGGTTTAATTTGCCCTCTAGCTAGTTAAGGTAGAAGCTTACTTAAATCATTGGTTTTATACCTTCCTTCTTTTCCGATATAATTTAAGCTGTAAATTACCACCGCAGTATGTTCCAGCTGTATCTCACAAATTTGTATGTTTTCATTTTAGTTCAGCTCAAAATATTTTCCTATTTTCCTGTGTGATTTCTTTGTAGATCCATTGATTACTCTGAAGTGTGTCTAATTTTTAAACATTTGGGGGTTTTCTAGATACCTATTATTAATTTCTAATTTAATTTCGTTGTAGTCAGAGAGTATATTCTAAATGCTTTTAATCCTTTTAAATTTATTGGGACTTGTTTTGTGGCCTACCATCTTAGTCTATGTTGGTGAGTGTTCCATGTATACTTCAAGAGTGTATATTCTGTAGTTGTTGGGTGGAGCACTCTATAAATATTCAGTCAAATTGGTCGATAGTGTTGTTCATGTTTTAACCTTATTGATTTTCTGTCTACTGTCATTTGTTGAGAGAGAAGTGTCAATTATAATTTGGACTTACCGTGTTTCCCCGAAAATAAGACCTACCCATAAAATAAGCCCTAGCAGGATTTCTAAGCATTTGCGCCATATAAGCCCTACCCCCAAAATAAGACCTAGTGATGGGCGTGGCTACGCAGCGTATCTGCACAACCCATGCATTTCGTCAGGGAGTGGGAAAGAAAACAAGCAGCCCTTCTCATCTGCCCCATGAGAGCTCTATTGCTTGACATGAGAGATTGGGGCCAATGGTTCTAAAGGAAATCGAGTCACAAGAAATTCAGGATGGAATTCGGGGTTTGGAGAGTTATGCTGATGTTCCAGAAGAAGACGACTTAACTATATTTGAATAAATGTAGATTGTTGTACCGTACTTAAAAAAAAATAACACATCCTCTGAAAATAATTCCTAGGGTGTCTTCTTGAGGAAAAATAAATATAAGACCCTGTCTTATTTTCACAGAAACATGGTAGCTATTTCTCTTTTCCATTCTATCACTTCTTTTTTTTTTTGAGACAGAGTCTTGCTTTGTTGCCCAGGCTAGAATGAGTGCCGTGGCATCAGCCTGGCTCACAGCAACCTCAAACTCCTGGGCTCAAGCAATCCTGCTGCCTCAGCCTCCCCAGTAGCTGGGACTACAGGCATGCACCACCATGCCTGGCTAAATTTTTCTATATATGTTAGTTGGCCAATTAATTTCTATTTATAGTAGAAACGGGGGTCTCACTCTTGCTCAGGCTGGTTTTGAACTCCTGACCTTGAGCAATCCGCCCGCCTCTGCCTCCCAGCATGCTAGGATTACAGGTGTGAGCTACTGCGCCCAGCCTCTATCAGTTCTTACTCATGTATTTTGAGGCTTTGTTAGTGCGTTGTGACACTCCACAGAAGCGAGAGGGGCTCCACCCCAAATTTGGTTTGATACCAAGACTCATGATGCCACACATACCAAGAGGATATTGTTAGGCAGGGACCAAATCTGCAGGTGGCAGGTACAGGCCAGGAGGGCGGTTCCTAGGGGCAGAGAAGCAGGGGTGTGTGTGTAAGGGGGGGGCGGGGGAGGGGACTGCAGGAAAACACAGTAAACGACCACAAAGAGCAGGAACTTGAGGTTTGAGGCACACACACGCCTGTGGAGCTGCAACTTTGTTATAAGGACACCTGTCAATCATGCGTATCAATCACCTGGTAACATCCTGCACCTCCTGTGAGCCCTCCCCTGGACCACGCCGATGAAAGGAAACCACCTGGGAGTCAATGTCTTTCTCCACGCGTGGAGACTGACCCGTTCCTCTCTGGGACGTGCTCTTGCTTTGTATAGCACCCTTCTTTCTGCAGTGAAAGCTGTTTGTGTGCAGTTGCTTCCTGCCTGTGATCGCTCTGTCACCCTGGCCCTACTTGTGAATTTTCCAAGCAAGGAGCCGAAGAACCAGGACAACAGTCTGCCAAGAGGCCAGACCTGACAGTAGGAGAAGTTGATTACTTTATTACTTCTGGGGACGGTAGGGGAGGCTTACCAGGCAGATTCAAATGGCTTGAGGGAGCAAGGACAGTGTGAAGGTTCCCGTACACAGGGCTTGCCTGGTTGGAATCTCCTGCTGACTCCAGTGAAGGAGCACACAGGCTTTCTTATCGCTTGTGCAGTGCCGGGCAGAAGAGGAAAGAAGAGGAAGAGGTGAGCCTTAAAAGATACCAGCAAACATTAAAATATAAACAAACTCTTTATTACAAGATGTATCCACATTTAGAATTGTCATGTCTTTTTGATATATTGATACATAAGGAATGTCCCTCTTTATCCCTCGTAATCCTTGCTCTGAAATTTACTAGGTCAGAAATTAATGGCCGGTTGAGGTGGCTCATGGTTGTAATCCCAGCACTTTGGGAGGCCGAGGTGGGAGGATTGCTTGAGGCCAGGGTGTTTGAGACCAGCCTGAGCCAACAGCAAGATCTCATCTCTACAAAAAAGAAAAAGGAAAAGAAAAAGAAAAAGGAAAAACTAGCTAGGCGCCTGTAGTCCCAGCTCCTCAGGTGGTCTGAGGCGAGAGGATCACATGAGCCCAGGAGTTGGAAGTTGCTGTGAGCTACGATGACACTACTGCACTCTAGCCCGGGCAACAGAGTGAGAGCCTATCTAAAAAAAAGAAAAAAATACAAAAACAAAAAAGAAAGCTGGAGTTGCTATATTCATTTCTTTCTTTTTTCTTTTTGAGGCAGGTCTCACTCTGTAGCCCAGGCTAGAGTTTTTTGTAGAGACCGAATCTGGCTGTTGCTCAGGTTGGTCTCAAACTCTTGGTTTCAAGTGATCCTCCTACCTTGGCTTCCCAGAGTGCTAGGATTACAAGTGTGAGCCACTGTGCCTGGCCATATTTTTCTATTTTTAAAAATGATTCTCATTAGACTTACATGTGCACATAGTAGGTAATTAATAAACATCTAATTTCAATTTAAAAAATTTTTTTAAAAATTAACCCACAACAAATTATTTAAATTTATTTTCTTTTGAACTGTTTCATGGGGATCATGCTTCTCTTTTCTGGAGTCATGTTTATTCTTAAGCCAACTCAAGAAAAAGAGGAAAATTCTGCCCCTACACAGAATATCAAATAGTTTGTTGTAAGGTAGGTAAGACAATCAACCAATGGGCAATATCCTAAAAACAATTATTAATAGCAAGTTTCTGCATAGAAATATTTTCTGAACAAGTAAAACTCTACTAAATCACTGTGAGGTTGAGGAGATTAAAGTAAGAGATAAAGGAATATGTCAAATAGTGAGGCCCATTGAGGATCAAACCTGAGGTTGCTTCTATTTTAACCTTTTCATATACCTGCTCCTTGAGGAATTACAAAGTAAAACTGAGAAATTTATAGATGGGGCAAAGTTCACCTGAAGAGTAACAACTCTCAGCTGATGTAAAAGTGCAGGAAAATCTAACCAAATCTTACCAATGAGCAGAAAAGAGAAGATGACTAAGCATCATAGGTGCTTCGGTGAAAGCTACCTAAATACGTTTGTGATCTTGGGCTCCAACTTGCCATTTCAGACCTTGAAAGGAACGTTGCAGTCCTTACGGACATTGATGGATAGGTATTATAAACAAAGTAGAAAGTTGTTTTTTTTTTTTGAGACAGAGTCTTGCTTTGTTGCCCAGGCTAAAGTGAGTGCCATGGCGTCAGCCTAGCTCACAGCAACCTCAAACTCCTGGGCTCAAGCAATCCTGCTGCCTCAGCCTCCCAAGTAGCTGGGGCTACAGGCATGCGCCACCATGCCCGGCTAATTTTTGGATATATATTAGTTGGCCAATTAATTTCTTTCTATTTATAGTAGAGACGGGGTCTCGCTCTTGCTCAGGCTGGTTTCGAACTCCTGACCTTGAGCTATCCACCCGCCTCGGCCTCCCAGAGTGCTAGGATTACAGGCATGAACCAAAGTAGAAAGTCTTCCCAGGGTGCTTTTGCTCCAAAACAGTAGGCACAACTCTGATCGCCCACCTCAAGAAAGCTGTGGTAGAGCTAGAAATGGTTCGGAAAATCCTACGACTTCTGAATGGGGTCAGAATAAAAAGTTCTGGGGTCTTAAGATATCTTTTCTACCTTTAGGATAGAAAAATGAAACTAGCCAAGAGGCTATGAATGAAGACTTTATCTCTTGAGGGGAGAATGGGAGTCATAAGAGAAAGCAGACTGGTGCACCAAATCCTTGAATCCAAGAAGCAGAGCCACCCCTTGAAGATCAAAGGAGGCCATTTCAGATTCACATTATTTAGCAGGGGAGTAAACAAGACATTTGTGGTTCTGAGAGATAATGATCCAGCTTACCACCATGGCTTGCTGGGGTTATTTGGCCGTCTACTGATTTGTCTATCGACATCTGTTCTAACACCCTCTCTAACACAGCCTCTTTCTTGTAGCCAGAGTGAAGTGATCTTTGCAAAATGCATTTTTCTATTGTCTCCA